CATGTCTCAGATACGGATCCAGAACTGAATTCTTTAAAACAAAATGGCCGCCAGTCGGCCATTTCGAACCCGATCCAAAAAAAAAAATGACGTGCATCAAGGTACCTATTATGTTTAATGTATGTACCAAATTTGAACAAAATCCGTCCATGCATAACTGAGATCCGGGTCCGGAATGGTGAAAATGTGCGATTTTGATGCATTTTCGGCCTTAAAATGGCCGCTATTCGGCTATCGTTAATCGGATCATGAAAAAAATGCATGTGCATATGTCCCATATAATGTGTGATGTATGAGTGAAGTTTGAACTTAATGGGTCCATGCATGTTCGAGATACAGGTGATCACGGACGCACGGACGCATGGACGCACGGACGGACGGACGCACACAGGGCAAAACATAAGTCCCCGTTTTCGGACTGCGTCCGAACGGGGACTAATAAAATATACAGCATTTTAAATCACATTGAATTGGCCGTTTATTATAAACACTACGGATATCAGAGTATTCATTGTTTACGTGTAAAACATTTGAAAACATGGTGGACATAAGATCACGAACATCGAGTTACGCTCATATTTTTGAAACCACGCCCAAATTGTAAGTCAATGTTCAATTAACAGATAACAGAACTTCGAGTTACGGGCAACATACATTTTGTTTTTTATTGAACGTCTACATTCAGTAACTTGAACTTTAAAGCGGGGGAGTAGTCACTTGCGCATGCGTCAGATGGGCATAGCGTGTCATTGTTTACAAACAAGCCTCTACCCATGAGCCTTTGCGTTTTAGCGTGTGTTGTTATTGCCGCTAATGACTCAATTCCCGCTTTAAATAACAGTTAACCAAACTTCAGGTTACGGGCAACACTTTTTGTTTTGTTTAACTTTAAAATTTTGTAACTCGAACAGTTATTGGCACACCTGTGTATAAAGACCACCTGCCTATAGTGACCACTTTCACACAGTCCCAAGGCATAACATATGGTCCACCTGTGTATAAAGACCACCTGCCTACAGTGACCACTTTCACAAAGTCTAAGGCATAACATGCAAGAAATCTGTGTATAAAGACTATCTGCCTATAGTGACCACTTTCACCGAGTCCCAAGGCATAACATATAGGCAAACCTGTGTATAAAGAACACCTGTCTATAGTGACCACTTTCACTGAGTTCCAAGGCATAACATATGGGCAAACCTGTGTATAAAGACCACCTGCCTATAGTGACCACTTTCACTGAGTCCCAAGGCATAACATATGGGCAAACCTGTGTATAAAGAACACCTGTCTATAGTGACCACTTTCACTGAGTTCCAAGGCATAACATATGGGCAAACCTGTGTATAAAGACCACCTGCCTATAGTGACCACTTTCACACAGTCCCAAGGCATAACATATGGGTAAACCTGTGTATAAAAATACCTGTCTATAGTGATATATTTATATAGTTTCTGACAATATTATACAATCATTTGCTCAAGTAATCAGATATTTCACAACCCAAAATAATCAGAATCAAAGAAAGCTTAGAAAGAACTCCCATGTGCTGAGAGTATTGGAGACACATTAAATATAATTCGAAATTACTTAGCTGAAAACTAATTATGCAAATCAGAAAATTAATATGACCAGATTTGAGTGTAAAACTAATGAGGTCTGCGCAATGTAACAGAAAATCTATGTCTCCAAGTTTAATTGAAATGTGATTAGAACCAAAAAATTATGAATTATTATGCTTATTAGGGAATTAATATGAACAGATTTTTACCCCAAACTAATTAGGTTTGTACGTTGTCCTAGAGCATCTTTGTACTAAGTTTCATTGAAATGGAATAATTAGTACCGTGAAAACTCCAAAATTTCGACCCCTCTAAAAATTCGGCCGCCTATTTATTTGCCGGGTTTCGGTGTTTTATTTACCTCCAAATTTTCGACTCCACTAAAAATTGCCGACTCATTCTT